ACAAGTGCATCGCTACTAGTAACAAGTGCCTTACTAGTAGTAACAAGGACGCTACTAGGGGCTCCTGGCCGTAGTACTAGGAACAAGAAGTTACTAGGAGCTTGCTCAGGTCTTCACTGTGAGCCTGTTGACCTGCGAGGATGGTTACCGCCGGTCCAGCCACTTGTCCCAAAAAGCAGCGGCGGTTCGTTCATCGAAGTGTGTTTTTTGTGGCAAGCTGTTGGCCTAATTTTCGTTGCTGATGAGTCATTCTTATATGGAAAAAAGAACGAGGAGGGTTCAAGAACATGATTTGTCCGGTGGAAACAAAGACAGAAAACACGAAATCTCCGATGGGCATGGCATTTGGCCAGTCATTTGGAATTTGTCCTTCGCCACCATGGCAGCCAGTGTGGAAACCCTTGCCATCGCACTCCGGAATCTTCGGTGAGGGACCTTGACCGAACGGGCTGAGGCGACTATTCCTACATTTGTATCCCCTGTGAAAAAGGACATTGGATCACCTCCAGCGAGGCCGGAGACCAAAAAGCGATGCGAAGGAAGCGATGCGAGATTCGATCCCCACAACTGGGACACCTGATCTACTTCTGCTACGAACGGAGCAAGGACGCTACTAGTAGCTCCTGGCCTTACTACTAGTAACAAAGGGCATCGCTACTAGGAGCAAGACGCTACTAAGTAATGTTTGTATCGGATTCATGTGTCGCAGATGTCTTGAATGTCCCAGCATTCCATGTTCCATAAGTCAGCCTTCGGGATAGAATATCTGACATGCTTGATATTCTGCACATTTTTTTGGATGTAACTTTGTCGTGTTCTTTGTTTCCGTTTTCATTGATGGAACCCTGAAGAACCCTGAATATGTTGATTGCGAGCGACTCACATCATGTTATGTAAAACATTTTATAACTATTACATACTATTACTAATAGCGTCTTGTTCCTAGTAGTAAGGCCAGGAGCCCCTAGCAGCGTCCTTGCTCCTAGTAGCGATGCCAGGAGCCCCTAGTAGCATCCATGATGAATATCCTCCGCGCCAGCGTTCTGTCAGACCGAATGGCCTTTGCGCTGTTGGCCTTGCCCTATTGCGACCTACCAGGACAGCGAAGGATCCACCGGGTGTCTTGGACGGAGTGATCTGACAAGGGCATCGCTGCTAGGAGCAAGGGCGCTACTAGGGGCTCCTGGCCTTACTACTACGAACAATAATTTTAATAGTGATCAAACAAGCCAGCTACCTGCAGAAAAAACTCTTCCACGAACCGCTTGCGAAATGGCGATCGAACGCGCCCCCACCCAGAGCGCTGCCACGCTTTTTGGCTTTTGAACAGAAAAGGCAGCTCATGGCCTTCAGTTTGGTTTGTCTCAAGAACACGCTTCTCGTTTTGTGCGTGTCATCCTTCAACACTCCCCCTTCATCGGGTCGCTAGGCTCCGATGATCCAGAGTCTTTCTTCTTCAAAATCTGAGCCTTCCAGGCTCAAACCACCTTTTCACTTTCTTCATCCTTCATAGGGTGTGCATCGCGTGCACGGTGTGTACCGCAGCAGCGGCTCTGAGCGGAGCCTCTTGCATGCCTTGTTGGAGTGAATTTCTCCACCCCATGAATTGGACCACATGTTCCAATTCGTTCTTCTTCCGATGCTTCTGGTGCAGTCAGGGCACCATGGAGACTTCTTTGCCGTTCCTGTCCTTGGCGCCACCAGATAGTCGCAGGACTCGCGGCAGTGGAATGCTTTTCCAAACCTTGTTGTCAGGACAGGAGGCATGTACATCGTGGGTGTAATGAAGGGCACCCTTTCTCCGGACTTTGGTGTGGCTCGGAGTCTGTTTCCTCCAGCCGGCGTTCCCCCTTGTGCTCCAGCATTTGTTGAGCTGGATGCCGTTGGGTTTCGTTCTTCTTCTTCTTCCATTTCTTGGATCCTTTTGCGAAAATCCAAGGCCTTTCTGGCTTCTTCCTCTTCTTCCTTTTCTTTCTCCTCTTCTTTTGAGATCTCCATCCAGTCAGGTGGTGGTGTCCACCCCTTCGGAACTTTATATGGAGTTCCGTCCACCTTGATGATCTTTCCTTCTTTTCCCTTTGATCCCATCTTGTTCGCCGTGAGTGGAGGCGTCATTGGGATTTCTTCTGGTAGGCCAACCGGCCTGGATACTTCTGGTGTCCGTGGTGGACTTCTTCCTTCTCCCTCTTTGACCTTCAAGGCCTTCATCTTTCTTGGAGTCCTTGGCGGGGTTGCGGGAAGACTTCTTGGGTGTGTGGATCTTCCCCTTGAAGGGTACCACAGGCCCGGTACTCCTTCCTTCGCAACCCACCAGACGATCATCGTGACGAGGATCACGCTCATGGTGTAGATCATCACGATCATTTCAAAGGAGATGCCTGTGGCTTCTTCCTCCCTTTCATCTTCTCCTTGTGCTTTAGTGGCCGTGAGAGAAGCTGCAATGAGAAGCATTCGCAAAATCGCAGCTGTCTTGGCCTTCTTCACTTGTATTTCTTCTTCGACTTCTCTTTCACATTTTCCTTCTCCTTTCTTTTCCTCACTTTTCTCCCCTTCTTCATTTGGTTTCACATCCTTTTCATCCTTCTTTTCTTCTTCTTTCGCCGTCTTGGCCATGTTCATCTTCTTCTTGAGGTCTTCCAATCGGGGTCCTGTGAGAGGTTTCGTCCCGATGTCTGCCAGCATGTCCTCGCCTGGAACGTGGGCTATTCCCCACAATCCCTCTTGAAGGCATTGGCGAGTGTAGGCTGAGCGGAGACGAAGATGTCTTGTCCTCCATGACCCTCCTTCTGATGTCAATATTGAGAGACCTGACTGGCTGTCGGTCCAGGCCATTCTTGGAAGCCTTCCCACCAATTCGTCGAGGATCACCGAGATTGACTCCCCGGCAACCATGCCCTCAACCACTTCAGTGAGTTCTGCCTCGGCCGTTGACAGCGTCACTGTACTTTGGCGACCTGATTTCCAGAAGATGGGGCATGAGCCCACCACCACAATGCAGCATCCATGGGATTCCTCGGCATTTGGAGCATATGATGCGTCAGTGAAGACGTTGAGCACCAAATCCTCATCTTCTCTCAAGAGGTACTTGAGGCCGAGGGTCTTCGTTCCCAGTAGATATCCTTTGGCTTGGATTCCTGCTTCAGCGACAGCTTGTGGACTTCTCAGGATGTTTGCCCCCATTCTGGACACTGAAAACATCAAATCTGGCCGAGTTCTAGTGACCAGCCACAAGAGTTCGCCCACCACTTTTTGGGCTGAACGGATTTGTGCCTGTGATGGCATTTCTTCTATCGGCTCCATCGAGGCTTGGTCTCGTGTCATCGGGATTTTTCTGGTTTTCAGCTTCTCCTCTCCTGTGCTCAGCAGGTCTTCCACATAGGAGGACTGGGAGATGAACCATGCAAACCTTTCAGCTTGGTGATCCCATTCTTTTGACACTTCCATGCCCAGGAACTTGATCGGTACTTCGGAGACATCTTGTGGACTTGAAGTGGTCCAGGTCTTCTGAACATGTTCACGGATGGCCTTTGTGATTTCTTGGGGTCCCACGATGAACAGATCGTCGACGTAGGTCATCACTAGGCCTTTCATTTCTTCACTTTCATCTTCTTCGAAGACCACTTTCCACAGGTTGGGCTCCGAGTCCAGGGCCTTCAACTTCATCTTCTTTTCTTTTCCCTCTTCTTGGACCTTGATCTCAAACTTCCTCATCGCTTCATCACGATGTTCACCCCATAGGCGTGGAGACCTTCTTAGCCCATATACCGCCTTCTGTGGGAGGTAGTAGGTGTCTTTTTCCATGAAGCCTCGTTCCACAAAGAACGTGGGCGGAAGCACGAGCATCAAGTGTTCATCATCCTTGAACGTCATTTCAGCGTTCAAGAAGGCTGTCTTCACATCAAGGCTTGTGCCTTCCCACTGGTGTCTAGCCGCCAGCAGGATCATGATTCGGAATGCTGAGGCATCAGCACCACCTGAGTAGTTGGTTTCCTCAGGCTGTTTAGACTCAAAGTTTCCACAGATCACCCAACGGACCTTGAGTTTTCCACCATTCTTGCCAGGTTTTCTGGCGAACACCAACTTTGAAGGAATGAGTTCAACCTTCACTCCTCTTCTTTTGGCCTCTTCCATGAAGTCTGTGACCTTTTGAGCTGGGAGTGGTAGAAGTGCTTGCTTCTCCGTGAGCAGCGAATGCACTTCATCCTCAGCCGATGGAATCCATTTCTTCCATTCTTTCGCCACTTCCTTCGGCGAAACAATCTTCGTTTGGAGGATTTCTTCTTCTTCCTCCACCCCTTCTTCAAGGATCTTCTTGAGCTTCCCCAGAACGAGGATTGAGCAAACTGCGAGGTCAGGGTCATCGTCGTGGATCTTGAGCATTTCTTCCTCCACAACCCTTTTTACCCTCATCTTTTCTTTCTTTTCTTTCTCTTCTTCACTTTCCACCTCCTTTTGTATTTTCTTTATGGTGGTCTTCCCCCTGAGCCTTCTTCTGAGGGTAAGGCCGTCCAAGAGTTCACGTTCTAGGGCGATCCATTGTCTCTCTGTGGGCCTTCCTTCCACCTTTTTCATCACACATCGGGTGAGTCTTGGTCGTTCACCTTCCTTCACGATCCAGTGACCGTGGTTCTCGGTGGATGGACCGAGATAGCACACTTCTTCCATAGTGGGTCCCAGATCATCCCTTTGCCATCGTCGTTTCCTTACCAGGATCTTTTCCATAAACATTGGAAAGGTTGGAACTTCGTAGATCCTATGGCAGCGGAGGATCTCGTTGATGTACCTTGTCGCCCATGGCCACCACCGAGCATCTTTCTCAGCTTGGTGTAATGCCTTGCGAACCATCGTTTTCACTCGTTTCACCGTGGATTCTGCACGGCCGTTCGCCTGGGGTTCGTCTCCTGCCGTTTTGGTCAGCATGATTCCCCGTCTCCTGCAGTAGGCTGCAAACTGGCCTGAAAATTCACGGCCTTGATCTGTGTGTATCCGATTGACGGTGTATCCGTCCATCTTCAACCTCAACACCATTTCCATAGTGGCCTTGGTGACTTCCATGGCCTTTTTCGTGAGCATAGGAAGTGCCAGGTGGAATGTCTTGATTTCGAAGTCCTTTGGAGGATGGGAATCCTTCGTTGGCAGAGCTTCATCTCCCCTGGGCTCAGCTCCTCCTGTAGGTGACCCACCTCCCTTCCTTCTCTTTCCTCTGCATCCGAGATTGTTTCTCGGTGTCTTTCTGTGATCTCTTGATCTTCTTGGACCTCACCTTGTTCTTCATCTTTTCCTTTATCTTCTTCCTTTTCCCTTTCCGCCTCAATCATCGGCAGTTCTTCTTCACCTTCTGCTTCTGGTTCCTCCTCCGTGGTTCTGTTGGAGGCTTTTGGAATGGCCCAAGTGAAAGCGCCAGCCAAAAAGTATCTGGACAACTGTCCTCCTTGGTCTGTTGCAGGTGTCAAAGGTCCTGCAGTGTCCAACGAAAGGACTCCAGCTAGTGGATGTGGAACTCGACGGTGAGGATTGCACTGCTGCATGTTTTCTTGACATGTTTTGCAGTCTCTTCTTGATGGCGTGTGCCCAAATGCCAAGTGTTCCTCTCAGGATAGAGCCTTCATCTTCGGTTGTTGATGAAATGCCTGGGCAAGTAGGGCCGTTGCGACCATGTTCATCAGTCCTGGAGGCCATCGGGCCAGCTGCCATGAGTGGGTGACCTGTCGATCGTCCATGGACTTGAGGACATGATCTTCGGGTGTCAATTGGAGGTTTCCTCCAAAGGTCGTTGGCTTTGTGGCTGCTCCTCCAAGAGGTCGTTGTGAGAATGTCGTTTCTTCCCACTCAAATTCTTCTTTCAGCGAAGTCCACTGGGGCGTGTCCCAAAACGACACCACTTCTGGTTTGTACTCCCTTGGTGATGCCGGCTGCTCAAGAGAGAAGATGAAAGGATCTGGTTCCCTTCTCGCTTTTCGAAGATGTGAGGCGACCATTCCCAAAAACACCATTCGCCAGAGCAGCACGTCATCCTCCCAGAGCTTCTGTTTCTCTTCTTGCGTGGCTTCTTTTATCCCAAACTCTTCCCCTCCCCATCTTCGGATCGGACGTGGTGGATCAGGTCCAGGGACTGGAACATGTCGAAGAACTGACCTTGTCCTGCAGTTGGGTCCTCCGACCAGACCTCGAACCTGTCCAGACAGGACGGCTTTGAGGAGTGCTGGATATACTCCATTGGACTTCAACATATTGTGTTCTGGACCTCGTTGTAGGTCAACTTCAAGCAACTCAACCTCCTTTCCTCCGATCTGCTGCCACGCACGACTGAGAGTGAAGCCTTCTTCGGGACCTGCATATAGATGGACAATGAAGCCATCTCTTTTCATTCTTTTTCTTTTTCTTCTGTTGGCTGGCAGTCGACATCCTTCTGAAGGCATCACGACAAGCTCCTTCTTGATTTCTTCTGGGAGAGATGCCAAGACTGGATGCTTCTCGACCAGCTCCTTCATCCACTTCATTTCTCCTTCAAATTCTTCCACCTCCTTGAACTGCATTCCCTTTTTGACTTGTTCTAGCTCATCAATGAGCTGGATGGCAACCTTTTTCGGAACTTGTGGACATCCTTCACAATCATCAACTGGGAGCTTTCCATGGACAGGATGGATCACTTCCAAGCTTCCTCGAGACCAGGTGACCTTGCAGTCCAACTGCTTCGTTAGTTGTCCCATCGGGATTATCGGCTCGATGTCTTGGTCTTCAGTGATCATCACTCCCCCTGGAGTTATGGGGAGCCAGGTGGTTTGACCATCGGCAAGAGCAACTTGGACTTTCTCATAGAGCTCCTTGTTTTCGCCCCTTTTGATGGGTCGGAGCGGATGTGTGGCTCCACTGTCCAGCAACCCGGCCTTCTCTCCCCTTTTCAATCTCATCAGGCGGAATGCCTTTTGGCGAAGTGCGTTGAGCTGCTTTTGCAATCTCTCCATGACTTCTTCTCTTTCTTCTCCTTCCTGAGCAGTGGGAGACGAAGTGGAGGACGAGGGAGACGAGTTCAACGACTTCAACATTTTATTTGCTTCTTCCAGCAAGTCCTTCACGCTTGGCTGCACCGATCCACTTGCTTCTTCTTGTTCTTTTACTTCTTCCTTTCCATCTTTTCCTTTTTCTGCTTTTGCAATCCTTGGCTTCAGACCTTCTTTTCCTTCTTTAGGCCTTGTGCATGCTGGAGACATGTGGTCAGTGCCACCACAATTCCAGCATCTTCTCTTTTCATCCTTTTGATCATGGGAAAACGTGCATCCCTTGCCTCGCTTGCAACCATTGTCGGAGAGGTAGAAGCGGCACTTGCTTTTCTCTTTGTTCCCGATCTCTTTGTTGTCTTTTGTACCTTGGTCTCTTGACTGCTCTTCAAACTTCTTCAGCTTTGGAGGTTCGGTTGTCACCTCCTTCTTTTTTGCTTGATGGCCCATGGTCTCCAATTCAGCCAACAAGTGGTGCGAGTACTTTGTGACCGATTCTTGGGTTGGAATCGTATCCACCATCAGTTGATTCCTGGTCAACTGCAAGCGGAAGTTCAGGTCCGCATAGGTGGCGCTCAACTTCTTCATCAGTTTTCCTAGTCCCCTGACCAGGATTGTAGCATCTGGAATTGAGACTCCCAGATCTTCTGCTCTTCTTTTCCAGCGAAGCCACCTTCTGAGGGTTGTGACTCCACTTGCAATACTTTGTGCTTCCTGGGGCCCTTCGAGAGCGGCCAAGATAGCGGACTTTTCCGCTAGCCCACCAGGCTGATACTGTATCATGCCCTTGGTGAGAATTCCGAGGGTGCTCAGCGACCTTGAAGACACCACTTCTTCTCGAAGACCTTCAGGTATCGCAGCGAGCAATAGGGATGCTGCTCGTCTTTCCAGTCGAGCCCATTTCTTCTGAGTCAGCATAGGTGGAGGAGTTGGATGGTGCCATGAGAGGTTGAATGACCAGCAACCAATCCGAGAAGTCAATCGGACCAGTCTCCGGGGACCATTCGGCCAACTTTGGAAGATCAGCGCTTCGTTGGACGACTTCGGGCGGTCCTCCGGCTTCTTCATTTCCATCTTCCTTCAGGTGACTTTTCACCAGCTTCTTTTGGATGTCCTGCATACCCTGCATGAGGCGCAGGATGACATCGATCGTTTGTGGTGGGATGGCTTCACCAGAGGGTTCTTCTTTCTTTCTCCCTCCAGTTCCCTTCCCTGTTCTTCCTTTTGGAACGTCTTCCATCTCTTCTTCGTCTTTGACTTCAGTCCTTGCAGCTTCTCCTCGAAGATCTTCTTCCAGTCCTGAGCTGCCGTTTGGCGTTGCGAAAACCACTTCTTCATCTTTGTTCTCCTACTGGTAGGAGAGACGATGCACTTGGTTCTTCAATGCCCGATTTTCTTCAACGATCACCTGAAGTTGTCGAGCGTTGAGGGTTTCTCTTTCTTCTTTCCTTCTTTCCGCTGCTAGGATGCCTAGGGTTTGATCCCTGAGCCTTTGGTTCTCCTTCATGAGGAGTTGCATTTGCTTCACCATCTCATCTTTCTCTTCCCTTTCTTTCAGTCTCTCTTCAAAGCCCTGCAGTCCTTCTCCCCCTGGCTCAAACCCAAACCTTCGGGCCTCTTCCTTTGCTTCTTCGAGGAACGGAGGCCGCAGCACGGATTGAGGTGTTTGGAACTTGGGGTAAAGCAGTGGGGCTTGTTCGTACATGGCGTGTAGGCCAGCAATCTGTTCTCGTGAGAAGAGGGGCAACTGTTCCTCTGGTGGTGTGGCCATTGATACAACTAAGTGTTGATGGCTTCCCATGAAGTCTTCTTCAACCCCCTTTTCTCCTTTCCCACCTTTTCCTTCATTTGGCGACGGACCAGGCCTCACCATGCGATCTTCTGGCGTCCTTAGGCCTTCTGCTTCTTCTTTTCCTTCAGCTTCCTTTGGCTCTTCTTGAACTCCTTGCTGTGGTCGCACGGGAGTCTTGGCCATTGGAACCTGCTGCGGAGTCCTCACAGTCGGCTGTGGGGTCTTGGCGGTCGAGGTGGAAGCCGATGCACGAGTTCGACTGTCTTCATTCGCTCCTGGGGCTGACGTTGATGGTGTCCCCTGGACTTGGAGTTCACTTCTATGGGAACCGCCTAGGCCAGCTATCCTTTCACCACCTTTTCCCCCCCTCCTTTTGGTCTTCTAGAGAGAGTTCATCACCTTCCAGGCGCTGCTGCTCAAGTCGCTTGTGGGCAGCTTCCATCTCTTTTTGTCCTTGTTCCAGTTCAGCCTTGGTGGCTTTCCTTCGCCTCTGCTGAAAGGCCATCGGACCTTCGATCTTGCCAAGATCAACGTGACCTTGGGCTCATAACCTGATCAAACAAGCCAGCTACCTGCAGAAAAAAACTCTTCCACGAACCGCTTGCGAAATGGCGATCGAACGCGCCCCCCACCCAGAGCGCTGCCACGCTTTTTGGCTTTTGAACAGAAAAGGCAGCTCATGGCCTTCAGTTTGGTTTGTCTCAAGAACACGCTTCTCGTTTTGTGCGTGTCATCCTTCAACAAATAGGAATTCAATTTGATTAGAATTAATGTTTTCCTCGGGTGAGGTTGCCAGTGCCACCAGCTGACCAATGGACTTATGCATATAGCGAAGGCCTCCAACCTAACAGCGATGGCCTCCAACCTAATCGCGATGGCCGCGATGGCCTCCTTACGCAGATTGGTGCGACAAAGAGGTGCTGATTCCACTGTTGCAAGGGGCATCCTTGTTGTACACACAGACAAGCGATGTACGCGAGACGACTTTGTACAAGATTGTGTCCTGCCCAGTCCTTAGTAGCGATGACCTTGTTCCTAGTCAGGTGTTCAGCGTGTCCTTCCTTTACGACCTCTCCCCAGGGTGCCGATGATGTGACACATTGCACTTGCTGCTCGTTTGCAAAGCCGTGAACTCTTACTCAGATGCTATTTGATGTTTGGCATTGGTTTGCGATCTGCAAAACTGAAGACGAAAAGCACGCCCGGTGTCCAAACCAAATGACCAGTGAATGACCAGTATGCAGATCGTATGCATTCTCTACGAGTCTACGCAGTGAATATCTTGGGCGCAAAGATCCAAGGTTTGCCAGGCTATTACAGTCCCTACTACGACGAGAGCACTGGGGAAACCTTTCCAGGGACTCCTTGCAGTGCATGTCATGATACTGACCTCATGGAAAGCTTGGACACGGATGAATCATGTGGAGAGACTTGGTGGAACTCCGAGTCTAAAATTGCTAGTCATGGTACCACATGGCCTTCACAGACAGTCAGATGTTGATTATATATTTCATTACTAGCTGTTATAGTTATTGTTGTTCTTTTGTTTATTGTTCCTATTTTTGGGAAACTATTGCTAACCTCAGCGGGTAAAGACCTTGCCCTTGGCCTGAATCAGTTGGATGCAAGCGTTGGAAAGCGGACAAGAAACCTGCTCTTGAAACAGCATCCAGACATATCCAGACTTCGAGTCTACTTTGCTGTTCAGACTTCGAGTTACAGCAGTCTATGTTGTTCTTCACCCTGTTCCTTAGAGTCGGAGGAAACCTCTCACGCCCACTTGGACTAGGATGGTGGATACAACGTGGGTGATCTTTGCACTGCGAGGGATGAGGATCTATGCGCGACCCAGCTGAAGCACCCGTTTCATACCTCATACCTCCAGTGGATCCCATTGATGTCTCTAGGAACTTTGCTCAGATATGACATCTTTGAACACAAAGTGCCACAAACCTCTGGGAATCGTTTCACCTGTAGTAACAAGCTTTTAGTATGTCTTTGCGGCTACTAGCAGGAAAGACAATCGTAATCCTACCAGGGCCGCGCTGTGCAAGGTCAATATGGACACCACGAGCGTGGCCTGGAAAATTTGTGCTTTGGCGGCCATCACGAGCGTGGGGTCCAAAGTGAGCTAGCTAGCTACATCTAGCTACCTGAAGTCAACAGATGCCATGTTCAGCTCAGGTTCAAACGTAAAATTGAAAAAACGAGGTGAAACGACAGTAATTTTTTTTAACGTCCAACACCATACAAGCCTTCTTTGGGAAGCAAAGATCTTCAAGCAAGAAGTCGATGAGGAAGACCATCACGCCGAGTCCCTGAAGTCCCACCGAACTCATTCCTGCCCATGGGAAGGGTCGAACGACGACGTCGAACGACGTGGAACGGATCGATGTTTGTGTGACCGGTGCCAACCGCCACCTTGGCCTTTGGGGCAAACTGGGTCGAGTCGAGGTAAGATCTACTGTCCGGGAGGGACTGCATGGCCCTTGGCGAAGCGCACCTTCTGGCACCTCATGTCAGGGGCACCCAGCCAAACCGTTCGTCTCCCGCGGCTTCGGACGCGCCGTGTGCATCCGTGTGCATCTGTGTGCCATGGACGCTTGATGCTTGGGTGTTTTTTGCAGGTCCGAGAGCTACGGAGATTTGCTTCGTATTTGTTTGGACGCTGAATCCACCTTGTTTCCTTGTTTGAATTTTTCCAGAGATCGGAATCCAACCTTTGGGCCAGTCATGTCAACGAAGATCCCATAGACAGATAGGCCCATGTAGTGACAACCGCGTTGCTCCGCCCCCCCAGGCGTTCCAGTGCTGAGTCGGTGATCGAGGGCTACGATGCTTACAAGCCCACGGTGCAGAGGTGGGAAAGGTGAAGAGGTTGCGATGTTGGAAACCATCGCTAGTAGGAACAGGTGCCACGCTACTAGGAACAGGTGCCTTACTAGTAGTAACAAGAAGCTAGTAGTAACAAGTGCCTCGCTAGTAGAAACAAGTGCCACGCTAGTAATAACAAGTGCCTTACTAGTAGTAACAAGTAGCTATTAGTAACAAGTGCCACGCTACTAGTAACAAGTGCCTTACTAGTAGTAACAAGGACGCTATTAGAAACAAGTGCATCGCTTCTAGTAACAAGTGCCTCACTAGTAGTAACAAGAAGCTATTAGAAACAAGTGCATCGCTACTAGTAACAAGTGCCTTACTAGTAGTAACAAGAAGCTATTAGAAACA